CTAATCATCAGCACACACTTCCAAGACAGGCTGGGACAACTGCCCTTTCAACACTTGAAGAATTGGCCTAAGACCTTGCAGAAGGTAGCTATATGTGCTTCCAACTAGAAGCTGCCGATCTTTTTGCCTGGCTCCTTCCTGGGGCTGGAGCAAGGAGCAATGAAGCAGCTTCCATGGAGAAGCTTTTCTCTTTGGGCTTGGGCTCCAGTGCACCTTAAATTCCCAGCTCTGCCCTGGCTCACTGCCCTCAAATGCCTAGGAAAATAGAGGAAAGAGACAAACAAGCCATAAGGAACGGCTAGATGTTGGGGTCTACTCTGGGTGTTGTCTCTGTTGCCCATCAATTTATTATTATAACCCCAGGAGGGAGACATAACCCCACTCTAAAGATGCAGGAACAGGCTGGGGAGTGAAAGTTACTTACCCAAGGTCACATGGCTTGGATGGAAAACCAACCCTCTCTGTCCCCAGTGGCCCAGCCTCTTGTACTCTACTTGGCAGGAAGGAGGGCAAAGCTTCTCAGATGCCAAAGGATACTTCCATGGGTGCAGACAAGAAGAAAGGGGCACAGCTAGAACTGACTTCAGAAGGCTGAGCTCCCATCTTGATGGCTAAGTATACTGGGGCCCCGCAGCCCAGCCTCAAGAACCAGGAGCTACATATAAGTGAAGCACAGAGCAGCCCAAAACCTTGGTGTCAACTCTCTGAATGACACTATTTGCACAAGAAAACACCTACTCTACGGGAACTCTATGCCAGGGTGGGGATGGGGTGAGCAGGGAGATCCCTACTCAGCAGGCAGGGGCATACAACTTGTGTGGGTGACTCACAAATGCACACCCTCTTGTGGGCTGGTTTGCCATCTGTATGGGACTGTGGCACCAGCATACAGTGTCCCTGTCCACTATCACCCCACACAAGGGAGTCTGGCCTTACTGGTCCCCTCCTTGCACAGGTCCTTTCTAACCTTGCTGGAGCAGGGCAGTCTTGCTCAGGGACAAGGACAGGATCACTGCTGAAACAAATTTCTCTCCTCCTCATCCCTGGCCACAAGCAGCCCTCTGTGCTTGGCCAGACAATCCAAGCTCCAATCAAGGAACCAGAAAAACACTAAGCACTTGGCTGGCCATGGTTTGGAGCATGTTGGGGCAGAGAGCAGGGTCACAGTGCCACAGATGATGGCCTTACTTGTGGGAAGCACTGGAAGAAGAGGAAGTGGCTCAGGCCAGAGGCTTTTGGCAGCTGCCCAGGGCTGAGGAATCGCACCTCTGTCCCTCAGCCCAACTAAAGCACGTCGGCCAGCACGCCTGGGCCCCGGTGGAGGGGAGGAGCTGGGAGGCCTTCCAGGCAGCACAGGATTGCAGGGGGCGGAGCTCTGGAGAACAAGGTGGGGATGGGCCTCAGTAAAGGGCCTGGACAGGGCCAAGGGGGCTGGGGTGTCAGGTGGAGAGCATGCTGGCAGGGTCAGGTGGCACCAGCTTCTGCAAGGCAAGGGAGCTACAGTCTGGAAACCAGAGCTGTCCTGACAATGCCCAACACACCAGCCCAGGAGCACACCCAGCCTCTCCACAGATCAGCTGGGGATGCACAGCAAGGGAGGCCAGGGTTCTCTAAGGGCCCCTTAGGCCCCTGACTCAGACTTCACCTGCAGGCAAATGGGGAGCCACAGAAAGCAGGAGGCCAGTCCAGATGCCAGAGGACTTAGTGTGAGAGGGGGAGGCATAGAGGAGGGGTGAGTGTGGGTGGCCACCACAGTGGTCAGGTGAGCCAGGTAAGGGAAAAAGGAGCTGAGGGTTGGCGGGAAGGCATGGGACTTGAGGGACACAGCAATGTCACAAGTAGGACTGAGCTGGAGGACTTGGTGACTGATTAGATGTGAAGCGTGAAGGAGAAAGGAAAGCCAAGGGAAATGCAAAGGTTTTCAGCCCCAGGGTGGGGAGAAGGAGATAGGAGATGGTAGGTCCCCTGCGAGGAGGGGGCAGAAGGAAAGGGCTGGCTTGGAATAGGATGGTGCAACATGTATGTGCACAGACACATGTGTTCCCAGACAGCAACTAAGCCCAGCGTTGGGATCTTCATCTAAAGAAGGGGGGCCCCATCCAAGCTTCGGCCTGAGCCTGCAAGTTTGGGGCTGAGAGCAGCCCCAGGCAGGAAAAGGGGATGTAAGTCAGGAGGGGCCCCTGGCTCTGGTGAGGCTCCTAGGAAACAGGTGTTTGGTATCCAGATTGATGAAGTCCTGGGCTCCTGAGGGGAGCCCTTCCCAACATGGGTGAAGGGGGAGCAGGCGGGCTCGTCGGGGGATCTGCCTTGTCCTGGGGCACCAGGCATTCTACAGCCCAGCCCAGCCCATGTAAAAGGTAAGGTGAGAACAAGGTGTCTCTAGCCCCGGAAAATTATGTCCTTCTCCCCAACCAACCACGCCAACCTGGGAATGGGAGTGGACAGAGGGGTCTAGGCCAACCCTGAGGAAGGGGCCAGAGGCCAGAGCAAGAGGAACAAGGGCAGATTGTTGGGTCACGATGGGCAATGCCATAGCTTGGTGCCCCTCAGCTCCCACCTTCTAAGGAAGCCGCTCCCAGTGCCCCTCCTCCTCAGGAGTGTGGGGGTCTCTGTGACAGGAAGCCCCCCGGGGGTAGAGAGGCCCGTGTGCCAGCTGTGTGACTGGCAGGACATAAAGGGGACAATCTGGTGAGACAGGTGGGTGCCTGTGTGTGCGGGCACAGACAGGCCCTGCCCAGGTGCGTTTGTGCTGAAGGGACAGGCTTTGTGTGAGGTGGCAATGTGCCAGATCGGGTGACAGAGGATGGGCGCATGACCTGGGGAGGCTGGGCTGCGGAGTTCCATCTCACTGGCCCCCGGCGTCCCCTGCCGCCTGCCCAGCTGGCTGTCCCTCCCTCAGCCGCTCACAGATGCATTTTTCATCCGCTGCTGTTGCCGAGGAGCTGATGGGCGGGCGTGGGAGGAGCTGGGGTCACCGCAGGGCCAGCCTGCCTGGGCATCCACATGTGCCCAGAGCCTGTGGAGGACAGCAGGAAGGGGCCCCAGGTGAGGAGGGTCATTCTGTACCTCTGCCCCTCTGGGAAGCTCCCACCACAGGCCTGAGAGTTGATGCTGGAGGCAGGCTCTGCTCCAGGCAGCTCTGCGGCACCCATGCCCACCTGCTAACCCAGGGCAACCTCACGCCAGGCCCCAACAGGTGATGCAGATCCCGGACCCCACAGCCTCCCGTGCATCAGTCCTTCATCCCTGCCTTCAGTACTCTGACCTACCAGCACCTGTCCCCCGTACCTGTACATGCTCACCTGTGCAACGGCACACAATCGCCACACATGTGCAGCAGGCCAGCCTTCACACACACTCATCTGGCCACACACACACACACACACACCAATGCTGCATACAGCATGCAACCCTTCTGTCACCCAAGCACACATGTCAGCCCACAGCCCTTCCACGTGTTCACGTGGCAACATGCAGCTATGACCACACAGTCCTCTTACACACGTCCAACTCAGTAAACATTTTCTAGGCACCTACTCGGTGTCTGGCAACACCTTCCCTACGTGTAGAAGGGCTAACACCTCCAGCTCACCACGGTCAGTGGTGCAACCCACACCTCCCTGAGTGTTCATCTAGGGAACTGCACACATACCCCTAACACACACGTGTGCCGTGTGAACACACACCCATAGCAGCTCAGCCTTCCAGCTTGGTCCGGATGAGAAGGGAAGGCTATGGAGAAGACAGGTGTGTTAGAGTGAAGATCTGGGGGTGCTGATGGAGAAGGGAGATAAGGGAGATGGGGTAGAGGGAGGACTGAGAGGGCACGATGGGGGCAGTCAGGTAGTGGGTACAGGATGTACTGCGCAGTCTCTTCAAGGAACCAGCCATCAGCCTCAATCATCAGGCTGGTCTCTGAGCTCCCACTCATTGATCTCCAATCAGTCTGGGTTTGCAGTTCAGGAACCCCAAGCTCCTCCTGAACACCTTTGTGATAAACTGTGGCCTGGCCAGACTGGTGGGCAAACACCCCCCTGGTTCTGAGAGCATCGAGAATTCAGGGCAAGCCCCATGCCCCCTTGATCAGACAAACGACAGCTCCCTCAAGCTCAGCTCTGCTGAGTGCAGGGGGGCCGAGATCAGGAGGCCCCCACGGCTCTCCTCGGTGGAGGCTCCAGGAGAGCAGACAAAGGATGCAGGGGAACTTCCTCCTCCAAAGCCCCCTTACCCAAGCGAAGGGAGCTGGGCTAAGGTCTGAGGAGGTGAGGTGGCCGGCCAGACACGCAGGGAGAAGAAAGGCTGTGGAGTTTCAGGGACAAGGTGAAGCCTACTGTGCAGGACTCCAGCCCGGGCTCAGAGAGGCTGGGAGCCACAGCTCTGGCCTCAGAGGCTCTGTCGCTTTGGTTGTACAGGCTGCAAGAGCTGGGGGCTGCTGCATGCGCCTCCACGCCTGAGTGTGTGCGTGTGTGAGCGTGTGTCACAGGGACAGAGGAGGACACTGTGTTCTGGACGTGGGCAGAGGCCAGGTGCCAAGCTGGGAAATTGTGAGTGGCTGTTGGGGCAGAAGCTACTGGGAAGAGGTATCTTCAACACCCCTCTCCTTCCATTTTCTGGGCAACGGCATGTGGTCAAAACCCTCTCATCTCTGCATCCTCAAAGTCAGGCTCCTCAGGGTTGATCCAAACCCCCGACCCTGCTCTGAGGCCGGACAACCAGCAAACTTCCCCCACCCGGAGGCGTGGGGCGTCTACACTCGCCAGCCCTGTGCGCTGACAGCTGTTCCTGGACTTGGCAGAACCCAGGCTTCCGGGAGAGAGCGCGGGGAAGCTGCGCAGCAGCGAGGGGCTGCCCCCGCGTCCCGCCTCGCAAAGTTTGGCCTCCGGGGGCTCCCAGCAGGTCCGACAGCGCAGGTCACGGCCCCCACCTCCACCAAGAGCTGCCGGCGTTCGCGCGCACGGTCCCCCCGCAAGCCTCCCTAGCGCGCGCGCGGCGTGACTCACCCGAGCAGCGGAGCCAGGCGGCGAGGACGATGCCCAAGAGTGCTGGCCACAGGCCGGGCCAGACGGCCATGGCCGCGGGGCCCCGCGGGCGGGAGGGAGGCTTTCAGCGCCTCAGCCCACAGCCCCACCTCGGGGCGC